GCCTGCCCGAGTGCTTTGATGCTCCCCAGGACTGCCCCATTGCATGCCCAGCTCCTGTCCCTGCTGCCCCCTCCACTCACCACCACGTAGATGGGGAAGGTGCTGCGTGGGTGGAAATCCTCGAGCCGGCACAGCACGGGAAAAACCTTGTGCTTCCAGACCTCCGCTGAGATCAGCTCTCCGATGAGAACAGGAATCTGGACAGGAGCACAGCCTTTCAGACCCACGTGAGGCAGAGGACCAGGCTGGTGCACAGCACCCCATGGCTGTTTTGTTCCTGAGGCACGTGGCACAGGACCAATTTACTTTCTTATACAACCAGTTTTCGAGCCTTCCCTTCACAGATGCTGTGTGTCCAGCAAGTGAAGAGCAACACATCTCCATTGCAGTGCACAAGCAGGAAAGCTGTGACAGCAAAGGGCTCAGGCAAATCTACTCTTTCCCAATACAACAATCACATTTGAAAGAACAGCAGTTTTATCACCTGTGTTCAATAACACAGATTTTGGAGTTGTCCTGAGGAGGATGGCATCTGAAATCAACAGCTTTCTACTGAGTCTCTGGCCTCAGAGATCAGAGGAGGGCAGGGAGTGCTGCTAGGGTTATGACGGGGAAGATATGCCCAAGGACCAGGCAGAGACAGGACCCCAGATGTCCCCAAGCAGCCCAGACCATGCTGGGGCTGAGCCCTCCCAGGTACGGGACAGAGAGCTGCAATCAGAAGGGTTATGGCAAACATTGTCCAGGGAGGGATCAGAGACCAATAAGCAGGAATACCACAGCTTGACTTTTAATGTTTTTTGAAAAGCAACAATGGCAAACCACCAGTCCGACATCTTCGCCAGCAGATTCTTCACCATCCACAGTTTGTTCCAAAATCAGATGCAGCTGGAGGCTGAGAGCCTGGCACAAGGCCCTCTGTCACACCCACCCGCTACCTGCAGTACACCCCGTCCCTCCTGACTGCGCAGTTCATGGCTTTGTCACAAAGAAGAAACCCAGTGAGAAGTATCAGGGCCACAATGCTTGTGAAGGGCAAATCGTGGGCACCCTCACTGCTCAGATGGGAGAAGCCCAGCTCCTGCAGCCTGGCCCAAGAGGAAGCAGGGTGCCCACTGGTGCATTTTGCCCTGAGCAGGACCAAGCCAACAGATGAGGCTGGGCAGCAGGGCCTGGGCTTGGCAGAGTCGGTTGCCCCTGTGCTCACCTTGGCGTGGGTGACGAGCAGCTCAATGAGGAGCTGCTCCTGGCCGGCAGAGGCACTCAGGATGGCGTGCATGTTCAGCTTCTCCACACACTCATGCTGCCGAAGCCACCTGCAGGACAGCCAGGTCGCCCTGAGTGCCCCTGCTCACCCCGCAGTCCCACACAGACCCACAAAATGCCCCTTCCACCCCCCAACATGAGGGAAAACCTCACATTTACACCTCCAATCCACAGGGCCCTCTGGGCCTGCCATGACACCGCCTCGTACCCCATCCCAGCCTTGTGGAGACCCCAAACCCACCTCCCGTCATGGGAGATACCTCAAATGTCAGCTCCTCATGCTCTAACCCCCCATACCTTCTGGGTGCCCCCACTACCTGGGGCCCCTCCTTACCCCCTCCAAGGCCCTCTGGTGACCACAAACCACCACCCCCTGTGAGGGAATCCTCAGATATTCCCCTCCCCACCCCCGGCACCGTGCCCCGTCCCTCCCGGCCCGCTTCCCCTCCTCACCCCACATCCTCTGGGAAGCCCCCCATCACCTCAGGAGGGGGACATCTCAAACTGATACCCCCGCCCCCCTTTTCTCTTCCAGGCCCCGTGTGGCCGCCCCCGAGCCGGGCCCGCTCCCCGCACCCTTTCCCGCCGGCGTCCCGCAGCTCGGTGCCACGCAAGGCCCGCACCAGCGCCTCGGCCTCGGCGGGCGACAGCGGCTCCGCAGCGGCCATGGCGTCGTGGCGTTGCTATGGCTACGGGAGCGGCCGCCAGCGCCGCCTTTGCGGCAGAGCCTCTGGCGCCCCCTGGCGGCGCGGAGGAGTGCCAGCGGGCTGCGGTACGCGTGGGGGCGGGCGGGGGCACGCGGGGACACACGCGGCGCGCACCCCGGCCGGGCCGGCTCCGTCACTTCCAGCACACGATGATGTTCGGGTCGTTCTCCAGGCGCTCATCCAGCTCCTTGTAACTCATGCCTAGGGTGAAAAGAGGGTGCTGGTTGCCGAGGGCTGCATGCCCCCCTCCCTCCTAACACCTGCCTGAGCATCTCTGCCCCCACGTTTGGGACTCTCCAAACACACGTGGTTTGGGAGCTCGCAGGGGGCGAGGCAGGGTGGCTCACTCACCCGTCTTGCAGCAGATCTCATCGTAGCTGTGGCACCCTGTGTAGAGCCGGGCCGGGAGGCTACGTTCGTCCTGTGCCACCTTCACCGGGTACTTCTGCAGCCGCCGGATGAGCCCCTTCATCAGCCCGAACTGGATGAGCCTCCTGGGAGTGAGCGTGACACTGAGCCCTCAGGCAGCTCCCCGCTCCTCCTCCTCAGCATTCCCCACCTGCCCCCACCACCCAGGGCTCGCACCTCTCGTCCACGCGCTGCAGCTGCAGGGTGTAGCGGGAGATGAGGTCCCGCACTGTGGTACCGGGGCTGAGGCCGCAGTACAGCTGGAAGACATCACGGAGGCTGGCTCGCTTGTGTCCTGTGGGGATGTGCTGCTGTCAGCCCCCATGGGCACGTTCCCAAGTGTTCAGAGCTTAGCACAGTTGTAGCACACCTGGCTTGGTGACATAGGACAGGCACTCCTCCTGGAGGCACTTGTCATCCACCACGTCCTGGACCTTTGGTGTGGTGCAGTACACATTGGAGTACTGAGGAGCAAGTCACAAGTGGCTTGGCTTCACCGTGGCTCTGGGGAGTCGGCGGGTGCCCCCAGCACAGCCTCCCCACAGCACAGCCACCAGCTCACCTGGAGTATGGAGACGAGTGTGACGACCCCATAGTACCTGCAGGGCAAGGGGAAAGGTGAGAGGAGCAGAGGTCCCCCGCCTTGGGCAGCCCCCACCACCCTGACTGCACTCACAGGAGGTTCTGCACGGCGATGCGCACCAAGTTCAGCTCCACATCTGCTTCAGCAGAAATCTTCTGAACGTGCCGAAACCCATCAATGTATGGCAGGATCTGAGAGTGGGGAGGCAGGAGGAGATGGGGAGTGAAACAGCAAAATATTGAGCCATCCATGTCAGCAGCCTGCTACCTGTGATACCCCACTGCATACCGGGCGAATGGGTCACCTGCAGCCCCAACACAAAGTGGAAGCACTGAACTATGCTGGGGATCATGAGAAGCTCTGGGGCAGCTCCCATCCCAAGCACCCTCTCTGCACACACCTGCTGTGTGGTGAGGTCCCACTGGGAGTTGAAGAAGTCATCCTTGTTCTGGGTGAAGACAGGCACATCGTACTCCTGCACGATGGGGGGGTCTGGCCGCTGTTCAATCACTTTCAGGTGGATGGTGTTTGACTCATCTGGAGGGAAGATGAATTTCAGTTCCAAGAGACATCTCTGGAGCTTGCCATCAGTAGCCCCAGAACATCTGGAAGCCACATGAATGGAGGATTTCTGGCCAAAACTCCATTCCTATGAGCCAAGCTGGCTCAGGCAGGCTCCGGCTGTGAGGACAAAGTGTCAGGGGCAGCGGCCCCCAGCCCCGCTCTGCCCTTTCTGCCCAGTACCTACCTATGGGCAGGGTGCACTTTCCTTTAGCATTCAGCTCCTCCAGCAGGATGGTCATAATAGGCACCAGCTTCTGTTTACTCTCTTTATTAGAGATGAAACCGCTTTCCAGCTAGAGAAGGGAGAAAATTGAGCCAGCTCCTCCTGGGGGGGGAGGAGCAAGAAGCAAAAAGCTTTCAGGGACCTTCACAACCACTTAGTCCAAGCATCTGACCTCTTCAGGGATAACCACAAGCTACAGCACATTACTGAGGGCATTGCCCAAATGCCTCATGAACACAGACGGGCCACGGGACACCAGCCGGCCCTCTGGGAAGCCTGTTGCATTGCCTGACCGCTCTCACAGCCCGGCAGCTTTCCCTACTGCCCAGCCCGACCCTCCCCACTCAGCACAGCCAAAGGCCAGCGCACCTCCAGTGTGGTGAGGTACCCCGCCAGCTTCTTGACGATGGGCTCCAGCGCGCAGGCCTTGGCTCGCGCGTCACAGACGAAGCCAAGGTTGAAGAGCAGGGCGTTGCGGCTGTACTTCTTGTGCTCGATGCACACCGGGCAGCCAATCAGCTTCTTCTCCATGGCAGTGCTGCGGGAGGACAGGGGCCGTGCCCAGTGCCGGGGCTGCGGGCGGCACCCGCTTCCCTCACAGCGGCACTCACACAGTGATGAGCTTGTTCTGCAGCTCGGGCTTAGTGATCACATACACCTGCACGGTGTCGAACAGCTCCCGCGAGATGAAGTCCTCGGGCACCTGCAGGAGAGGTGGGCTGCGGGAGGCAGAACCGACGGATCCCGGTACCACCGCTACCCGGTACCACTGCTGCCACTGCTACCCGGTACCACCGCTACCCGGTACCACTGCACCCGGTACCAGTTTCCCCGGCGCCGTTTCCCCGCGGCACCCGAGCCCATCCAGCAGCAGTCACGCACCCACCGCCGCCTCCCCATCCCCGTTCCCCATCCCGTCGTTCCCCCCCGCCGGCAGCCAGCCTCAGGCCGCGTCCCCCCCCGCACCTGGTAGGTGATTTTGGGCCCGAGCGTGGGGTGGAACTCGCTGAAAAACACGCACTCGATGCGGCCCCCCATGGCGGCCCCGCTGCGGCAGCCGGCCGGCCGCAGCGCGCATGCGCCCCGCCTCCTCCCCCGCCCCATCGGGGGCGGGCTCTCTCCTTGAACGACACCCCGTCGACCACTCAGCGAACGCGAGGCGCGGTGGGGGCGGGGTCGTCGGAGCCGAGCGGCGGCCCCCTCGCCCAATCGCCGCGCGCGCTTCGCCTTCCCGTCTCCCGGCGCCAGCATGGCGCTGACGGCCGAAAGCGAGTCGCGGCTCTTCCGTTCGCTGCGCGCCGCCGCCGGCGCGGCCGCGCACGCCGCGGCGCTGGGGCTGCCCGCCGGGGTGGCCGTGCTGGCGCGGCCCGGCTCCAGTGAGTGCGGGGCGGCGGGGCCGGGCGGGCGGGCGGGCGGTAGCGCGGCAGCGCTGACGGGCGCTTCCTTTGCAGGCCTGTTCTCCTGGCACCCGCTGCTGATGGCGCTGGCGGTGAGTCCCGGGCCGCGGGGCGGGGGCCGGGCCCCGGGGCTCCGCCGACCCCCTCGCTCCGCCCGCAGGTGTCGCTGCTGATGACCGAGGCGCTGCTCGTGTTCTCGCCGGAGGCCTCGCCGCTGCGCGGGCTGTCCCGCAAGGCCAAGGCGCGGGCGCACTGGGTGCTGCAGGCGCTGGCGGTGCTGTGCGCGGCGCTGGGGCTGGGGCTGGTGGCCTACAACAAGCACCTGCACGGCACCGGGCACCTGCGCACCTGGCACGGCCGCACCGGGCTGCTGACCGTGCTGTACTTCGCCGCGCAGAGCCTCGGCGGGCTGCTGCTGCTCTACCCCAAGCTGGCGGGCTGCTGGCCGCCGGGCAAGCTGCGGCTGTACCACGCCACGGCCGGGCTGGTGGGGTACCTGCTGGGCTGCGCCAGCCTGATGCTGGGCATGTGCTCGCTGTGGTTCACCGCCGCCGCCCGAGGGGCCGCCTGGTACCTGGCCATGCTGTGCCCCGTGCTCACCAGCCTGGTGGTGATGAACCAGGTGAGCAACGCCTACCTGTACCGCAAGCGGAGCCAGCACTGAGCGCGCCGCCCCAGATGCTCTGCAGCTCCTTCATCCCAGACGGACCGCGGTGGCTGCGGGGCGCATCGCAGCTCCAGTGACACCGCTGGTCCCCAGCACAGGGAGTGGGAGAGCTGGGGGGTCCCGCTCCGTCCCCTTCCTTTTCATCCACGCACAAATCCCTGTGCCACGGGGCTAATGGTGGCAAGGTTACGGCCCGTCGGGCACCAGGGGGTGTTTTGCAGCCTGCAGAGGCCCGGTTCATCCCTCTGAGGAGTGCAGAGAATGGTACGAGCACAGGAGAAACCTCAGCAGACGCCTGCGTGGGTGCCCATCCTCAACATTGTGAAGGGAGCAGGCTTCATGGAGCAGTGACCCTGGAAGGAATCACAGCTCCTCTCCTCCCGCAGCAGCCGCCTCTCCAGCCCCAGTGGAGTGGGGCTCGATGGACTGCGCTGCGGTGGCCCCAGGGCTGCTCCCTGTTGTGCTCCTGGCAGGGCCAGAGAGCTGGGAACAGCACCCAAGCTGGGAAAATCCTCTGTATCCAGAGCTTTTATTCAATAAAGATTCAGGCAGCTACAGCACAGCACAGCCTCCTTACTGCCCTGGGGGCTTTTGGCCCCACATAGGGAAGGGGACACCTTAGAGCCACAGAGAAGCGGTTGAAAATAGCACTGACCACAGGCAGGTGCTTGGTTCAGGCCCTTGGCCCCCATGAGCCTTCACAGCACCCCAGCATTGAGCAGCTCCCGATTTGGGGAGAATATCTCCCCCAGCACGCAGTTCCATACCCCTTGTGCAGTGCAGGGACTTGACAAGCACTCTTTTAAAGAACTGTTTATTGATAACGAAATGTCTGTGTTTTTCCTAGTTGACAAAACCTTCCCGTGTGGTCCTTTAAAAAAATAAATTCATAACACCACCGTGGGCTGCGTCCCAGAGCCCAGGGTAAGGAGCTCCAGGAGCAGCCTCTCCCTCGCAAGGACAGCCCAGCCACACAGAGGGAGCAGAAGAGGAGGGGGATCCAGTTTCTACCCACAGGACAGAAGCCTGGTGTCAGGGGAAGCAGCGAGTGCCCTGCTGTAAAAATTAATTCCAGCTTCTAGGATAATCTGACAAACGGATTAGTTGTGCAGCAGCCAAGGACACTGGCTCCTCCTGGGGAGTCACTGCAGCAGGAGAGGAAAGAGGAGAGAACCAACGGAACGAAGCCATGGGAGTCAGGGCTGATCCCCGCTCTGCATGCTTGTGGCAGAGCCAAAAAACAGGCACCGGCCCTGTGTGGGAGCTCTGTCTACCTCCTGAAGGGTGGAGGGAGGGTGGAAACAGGCAGGAGATTTGGAAAAGAGACCCACGAGCCTTCTCATTCCCTAGATTAAGAACAAAACTAACTCAAGAAAGGAGAAAATTAAGTTCCGAGTGCAGAGGAGAAGCAAGAGAGCATGGTGCTTGCTGACTTTGCTCCCAGGGCGTCGTGAGGTTCCTTCGTGGCTGAGTGCAGAGGCCTTAGGGAATGGAGCTGGGCAGTATGGATTGGTTCCAAGTCTCCCTCTGGAACAAAGCCTCCAGCACAGACATCCACCTCCTTGTGAGAAGCCCCAGCCACTCCAGCAGGCAGCGAGAAGCAGAGCCCCGTGGCTCTGAGGTAGCCCCTGCCCCTGGGTCAGCAGCGTCCCCGCAGGCAGCGTCCCGTGTGGGCACCTGCAGCTCTCCCGCAGAGCCAGGGTGGGGAGAACGGGGCAGTGCAGCTGCAGCTCATGGCTGGGATGGGGCATCCTCAAAGGTGATCAGGCTGCTCTCATGGCCAGCTGCCTTCCCAGCCACACTGGCCTCGGGGAGCAAAGGGCCTTCGCTCTTCACCACCACCTCCTCCTCCTCGTCCTCCATGCTGGGCCAGGCTGTCTGGTCTTCCACGCGCTTCAGCCGCTCGTTCAGCGCCTTCAGGGCCAGCTGCCTGTAGAGCAAAGGTGGGTGAAGGCTGGTATGAGGGGACTGTGAAATGCGTTACCGCTCTGCCCCGCTGCTCTTGCCCCACGTGCAGCTGGAACCCGCCCTGCTGCTGTCGTGCCATGCCCATGCTGCTTGAGCAGGAGCTGTACTAAAGACACTGAAGCCAAACAGAGCCACCTCTGCTCTGATGCACAGTTCCCTCTTCACGCGGTGCATTTGGCTGCTGGTGACTCACATGGGAGCCACTCTAGGAAGCGTACAGGAACAGCGAGCCGGTGTCTTGCCCCATGACCGAGGCGCGGTTGCACATGCAGGGAGGGCTCGGTCACGGTGCTGATTGGCTCTCGCTGTGCCAGGTGACAGCACAGCCACAGGGACCACGTCTCCCACTCCCTGACCCCTCCCCAGGCCTCCCACTCATCCCCAGTACTTTGGCTCCGCTCTGGGAAGCGAGGGTGGTGTCCTCCCGCCTCAGCTGCACTCCCAGGGCTTCACCAGCGTGGGCAACGGCAATGGACAAGGGCCAGCTAGTAAGCCCACAGAGAAGGCTCCCTTCAGCGCCCCGAGCTTCCACCTCCCCACATTAAGAGCACCACCGGCCGACGTGCGCCAGGTAGAGCGGGGTGAGCGGTACCTTCTCCTCTCGGCATCCTGCGGGTCCGTTCCCGGGAGGCTGATGGTGATGGAGGACGGGGCGCCCACATCGTAGCGCTTCACCGTCTTCCGGCAGAGCCGCACCTTCACCAGAAGCGTGTGCACCAGGTTGGCCGCCAGCCCCACCGCGGGCTGCAGGATCTCAGGGAAGAACGTGGCAAAGGCGAAGTGGTCAGACATGTCTCCGCGGCCCCTACTGTGCCGCTGGTAGAAGCGGAGATAGACCCAGCTGGAGAGCAGCCCAAAGCCGTAGGAGGCCAGCGCGGGGCTCTCGATGAGGGCGGCGAGCCGCAGCGCGGCCAGCAGCAGGAGCAGCAGCACGGGCACGGCCTTCATCCGCACCTGGGGCACCCTCAGCACGGTGCTGTCGCCCATGGTCTGCTTGAGGGCCACCAGCACGCCGGCCAGGAAGCCGAGCCCGCCGTGGATGCGCACGTGGAACAGGTAGGCCACGTGGAAGGTGGCGGCGTAGGTGAGGAAGTAGGCGGCGGCCCCCAGCAGCCCCACGGACGCGTTGACCACGGCGAAGAAGACGAGCAGCTCCAGGGCCCCCCAGCGCGGCTCCAGCAGCCGCCCGGCCGCCACCACCGCGCCCAGGCTGAGCGCCACGCCGGCCGCCCGCCGCTCCACCAGCCCGTGCGTCAGCAGCGTCCACAGCCAGCAGCGGGGCAGGAACAGGAAGCCGGGCGTCACCGCCAGCCCGTAGGCCGTGTCCACCGCGAAGGACAGCGCGTACAGCAGCAGCACGGCGCCGCTCACCGCCTTCACCACCACGCTGGTGCCGCCCAGCGCCGCCACGCAGTGCTGCCGGGCCACCGGCAGGTACCGCCGCATCTTCGGGCCCGGCCCGCCGCGGGGAGGAGGCCGACGGGGCCCCGAGCTCCGGGCCTACCCCCGGAGGGGGCGGGGCCGGGCCCCCTCGCGGCTCCCCCGCCGGACCCTGCCCCCGCTCGCGCTGGTCGGGCCCCGACCCCGCGCCGCACGTCCCCTCTCGGGCCGCGCCGCTAGGCCAGGCCGGGCGCGGACAAACAGCGCTGCGCGCATGCGCCGCGAGGGGGCGGGGCCTGCGCGCGAGCGGCGTGGACGGAGCGGAGGGGCGGGGCCTGGAGCTGGGGGCGGGGCCAAGGACGGCGGGGCGGGGCCAGGAAGGGGAGGGGCAGCTCCGCCCCGCGCCGCGTCTGCCGTGAGCGGGGACACGTGGGGAGCGTAGAGGCGGGCACGTGGGCGCCGGCGTGGGAGTCGCAGGCGTGAGGGACGCTGAGGCGGTGAGGACGTGGAAGTGGGAGGCACAGACATTGGGGGCACGGATATCGGGGGCAAAATGTGGGGACTACGGGCACGGGGCACAGATATAGGGGACAGGGACACGAGGGGACGGACACAGGAGACACAGATATGAAGGGGACAGACACAGACAGAGGGGCCGCAGACTTCGGGATGCTGCCAAGGAGAGGCCATGGGCGCTGAGGGCACGGATGCTGTGGGACGGGGGTTGGGGGATGTGGGGGTTGGTGGTGCAGGGGGACAGATCTGGGGGACGTGGGTGTGAGGGCACAGTGTGAGCCGGGGACGCTCAGTGGGCACGGGTGGGAGGCACAGGGGACCCAGACACAGGGGCATTATGGGGGACGTGGGCATGGGACAGCCACAGGGCACTTGGGGACATCGGGACACGTTCATCAGGGGATAAAGGGACACAGGGACAGGGCAGCCCGGGGCTGGGGATGTGGGCTGCATGAGCCCACCCATGTCTTGTCCGTGTCCCCTGGCACAGCCCAGCCAAAGGGAACAAGCCAACGTCCTTCCCCTTTCCCCCTCCCCCCCTCCTGGGAAATGATGCAGCCACCACCTGTGAAGTGAAAATATGAACATTATTTAATAACTGAGTCTCTGTAATAAACCATTTGAAAATATTTTACAAGGAGTCACACGCACAATATCTTACAAATTGTCGTTTTGTTGGTTTTTGAAGTTTTCCAACTCTTCTGTACAAAAAGAAAAGAACAAATTAAAAATAAATTAAATTAAACCAATTAAAAACCCAAAGCCTTTGAATGAGCAGAGAGAAGCTTTCGGGGTGGGGAAGGGGCGGACACGGCGCTGGTGGGGCAGGGGGCCGGGGCTGCGCCGTCCCTTCGTCTCCTGGTTTTAACTTAAAATAGACTATATATGTATATATTTATAGTTCTGTATAGTGGCGGTTTCTCGCGGAGCACCTAACTAGACTACAGCAGTACACACACTCCTGGTAACACAGAGCCATCTGTTCAAACACGGTTCCCAGAGACAGTAACCAAACACACACTGACTGAGAAAGCTACAAGCAGAATGACCATTAATTAACCCCAGCGCTTATCAGCGCCTCCCCAGCCCCTCCGGCTGGCCCTGTGCCCGCTCCTGTCCCCCCCAAAACGCCGGTGGGGCCGGGGCTGGGGACAGCCAGCGAGGAGCTGACAGCACCTGGCACTTGGCACGGCCCTGCTGGGGACACAGGGCTGGGGACAGGTGGCACGTCCCAGCTGGAGACACACGGTGTGTCCCGTTTGGGGACAGGCAGCACGTCCTATCTGGGGACATATGGCACATCCCATCTGGGGACAAGTGGCATGTCCTCTCTGGGGACACACTGTGCACCCTGTCTGGGGACACGGTGCATCCCATCTGAGGACACACAGCATTTCCCATATGGGGACACTCAGTGCTTCCCATCTGGGGATACACGGTGCATCCCATTTGGGGACACACAGCACGTCCCATTTGGAGACGCTCAGTGCATCCCATCTGGGGACACAAAACATGTCCTCCTTGGGGACGCACAGTGCATCCCATCTGAGGACACATGGCATTTCCCATATGGGGACACTCACTGCTTCCCATGTGGGGGCACACGGTGCATCCCATTGGGGACACATGGCATGTCCCATTTGGGGACAGTCAGAGTGTCCCATTTGGGGACACATGTCCTGCCCTGTCCCGCTGGCTGGTGCGCGGTTTCTTTTGCAGGGCGGGACAGAGGGGCCAAGCAGAGCTGGGGCAGGCGGATGGGAAAGGTTTCACAGTGATCTGCAGAACAGAAAAGAAAAAAAAAATACAATTTTTGTCTTTTTTTTTTTTTTTTTCTCTCCTTTTCACCCCAGTATCTGTGCCCAAGACACATGAATGAGAGCGGATGAGCTGAGGGTGGGGACCATGGGCTTGGTCCGGTCCCGGTGAAGGCAACACCTGGCTCCCCGCACCGAGCCCTGTGCCGCAGGGACACTGCAACCACTGTCCTCCTGCACCCCGGGGGCCGGCATCCCCGTGACCATACTGAGCAGGACAGGCAGGCCAACTCCTCTTCCCTTTTTTTTTTGTGTAATTTTTTCCCCTTTTATCCCACGTGTCTTTGTCACTGACAACACGCACCATCGTTCTCCAGGATGAACTAGATGTAGAAAGATCTGGTTTAAAATCTTGAGGCTAAAAAAATAGGCGAGGGGGGGCTGCAGCGGTGGGGGGCAGCCAAAGGGGGCTTTCGGAGTCCAAGTGGCCGGGGGGGGCCGGATGCCGTCCTGGCTGGGGGCCCCTGCCCACACCCCAGCTCTTCTTTGGATGTGGCCGTGGGGAGCGCGGCCCCGAGGCCGGGGAGTTGTGGGGGGTTGCTCCCATCCCACCGGGCCTTGGAAAGGGAATGGAGATGGAGGCTGAGAGAACAGGAGGGCGGCGGGCGTGGGTTAAAGGCAGGCGGCCGGGGGCAGCGGGTGCCGGCTGGTGCTGGCGTAGAGGAGCAGCAACTGCAGGGAGAGCAGGACCCCGAGGGAGGGGGTGAAGGATGCCCCTCGGCCGCAGTCTGAGGTATCTTCCTGGGGGGGCAAAGGGAGAGCAGACATGGGGCACTCACAGAGCCAACACCACACCGCAGGGGGATACGGTGTGACCCACCCCTGTGCCCCCACATAACGATGCTCCCCTGGGCCCCCCATGGTGATGCCCCCCCTATATAGGCACCCTATGGCTCCGGATTCCCCCAGAGGGAAATCTCATGGCTCTGATCTCCCCCAGAGAGGCCCCCAAAGCTCTGCCCCCACCCTTCCCAGGAGGGCACCCCAAGGCTCTGCCCCTCTCCAGGAGGATGCCCCCCTCTGATCCCTTTCAGTCCCCCCCCCAGCTCCGTGCCCCTCAGCCACGTACTGTTGCATTGTAGTCGAAGCAGATGTGGGGGCCTTTCCGGTAGCGGGGCCTGTCCACCAGCTCACACTGGTTCGGGTCTCTCGGGGGAGCTTAGTGGGTCAAGGAAACGATGGGGACCAGTGTGGGAGGGGAACATGGTGCACCTCAAGGTCCTCACGGTGCCCCATGGCCATGAAGCAGCTCCCCTTGCCCTGCCCTCCCCTTGCCCCTCGTCCCTGTGCCACCTGCAGGGATGGCACCGTGTCTCCAAAGGATACCCCTGACCTCAGCCTGCAGCAGCTTGACGGACTCGCATTGGCTGCACAGGGGCTTGTCAGCCACCACGAAGAGCAGGTTGGTGTTGGCCAGCCTCTGTGCGTGGAACAACCTGGAGGATGCACGGGTGGCGTTGGCCTTATGTCACCATCCCCCCCTGAAGCCCACGGGGACACCAGGATACAGGGGACAGACCCACCTGGAGCAGTTCCCGCAGTCGATGATGGCGTTGTAAGTGGCGTTGACGGTGCTGAAGTAGTACTGCGTCTGCTTCATGATGCAGCTCGTCTCCCTCGCCTCCATGCCTTCTGCCACGACGTCCTCTGCATAGACACAGTGTCCCGTGGCGGTGGGTGCCCAGCCAGGGGAGATCACCCACCCACCCACCCCTGGGACCAAGGTGGCTCTCACCTGTCTGGAACCAGCTGCTGTAGGTGAGGCTGTAGAGGAACTGCTGGAAGAGGGACCTGGAGATGGGAACGTGGCTGTGTGAGCTATGCGGCCCTGGGGACACACTGGTGTCACCCAGTGGTGCCCCAGCCAAGGGATGAGGCACAGATGGCACTCGTAGAATCATGGAATCATTTAGATTGGAAGTGATCCCTTAAGTCATCCAGTCCACTGTTGACCCAGCTCTGCCAAATTCACTGCTAAGCCAACACACGTCCCCAAACACCACATCCACATCTCTTTGATGCCTCCAGGGACACTGACGCCAACCACCTCCCCGGACAGCCTGTCCCAATGCTTCACAACCCTTTCAGCAAAGACTTTTTTCCTGACATCCAACCTAAACTTCCCCTGGCACATCTCCAGGCCATCCCCTCTCATCCTACAACTTGTTGCTCGGCAGAAGAGATCAACTCCATCTCGTCGCAGCCTCCTTTGAAGTCATTGCAGAGGTCTTCCTGAGCTTCCTCCTCTCCAGGCTAAACGATCCCAGTTCCCCCAGCTTTTCCCCACCTAGATTTGTTCTCTAGGCACTTCCCCAGCTTCATTGCTCTCCCTTGGACACCCTCTAGCACCCCAACGTCCTTCTTGCCATGCGGGTTCCAGCACTCACCAGGCTGCTGCCGAGGTCCACCAGGCCAAGTTCAGCAGGTCGGCCACGGTGGGCTGTGGGAAGAGGGGTGGTGAGGTGGTGGGACCCATGAACGGAGCCGGCACACCCATGGGTCGATAGGCACTCACCACAAAGACACCACGTGGTGCAGCGCCTGTGTTGCTCTGGGCCTCAGGGGCACAGACGGACTGAAAGTCGTAGGACTCTTTGCGGGCGTAGAAGGAGTTGTTGTAGAGGGCAGACATCAGGTTGGCGTCTACCTCACTGAAGAACTTGCCCACCTGAAGCGGGACATCGGAACAGTCTGCATCCAGCAGCACAGAGCAGACCTTGCTTTGGGGTCTGCTGTGGCAGGGACTCGAGTGGGGGTGCATAATGTCACGTGTGACATGAGCTTAGAAGCCCCAGCTCCCTGCTGCCATCAGGACTGCAGCATTCTGGGGATTGCACTGCTCACCTGGTACCAGTGATCCTCCTGGTTGGAGAGCACCAGGAAGCCACCGTCATCAATGAGGACACAGATGAGGTCCTGGGAAAAGAGGGCAGCATCACCCACCTGCCTTGTCCTCCATAGGCAGAACAGGAGGGACCGTCAGCACCATCCTCACTCACTCCTCACCGGGGGCTTCTTCCCCATGGGAGGGCCTGAGGCCATAGGGATGAGGCACCACCCAGCCCTGCTCTACACTCACCTTGTTGTTGGCCTCGCAGTCCATCTCACAGCTGCTCGAGGGGTCACACTGTCAACCAAAATGGTGGCAGAGAGCGTGTCAGTGGCACCACCCTTCCCTGCTCAGGGTGGATGTGCCCCCAGCAGGCTGGGTGCCATGTACTGGGTGATGGGGCTGGAACTGCAGGCCAGTGGGGACGTGGGCAGCAGCGCCCAGGAGTGCTCCCCAGTCATGTCCCTGGCAAGCAGAGCCCTGTCCCCATCCCCAGCCCTGTCCCCAGCATACCCGGCGGGAGCCCAGCTGGTCACGGTCTGTCCGGTTGCTTGCCAGAACCTTGAACTTCTCTGCCCAGGCCTCCAGGTCCAGCTTCACCCCAACCACTTGGGGAGAGGAGCCGCAGTGAGAGGGGGGAAGGGGTCAGCCCTGGCTCTGGAGGGATGGGGACATCCCCAGCCCAGTGGTACTGTCACCCAGCCCCTGCACACCTGCTGGCTTCAGCGTCTTGCCCCCAATGCTGAGCTCCACAGCGGTGCTCACCAGGATCCCAATGGTGTTATTCTCCAGATCCAGCCCCTGGTAGCCATCTGTGGAGGACAGGGGAGGCATGAGGTGGCACATGGGGACAGCGAGGGCACACCTGCAGTGCTTTGCAGGCACTCACCATCCCTGTAGGGCGGTTTGAATATGTAGCCCTTGTTATCCAGGCTCCTGCGGTAGAAGCTGGCATTGAAGGGCTCCGGCTCCTCCTCCCAGTCATCTGCAGCTCTGGAAGGGAGCAGACACAGCCATGGGTGCCCCTTGTCCCCATCTCTGCCATCGGATGTGCCACCACAAGCCCCACCAGAACACTCACTTGTTTGGGAAGACACGGGTGATGCCACCATCTGTGGCTGCGAAGACAGCCAGGAGACTGTACCTGCAGGGAGAGGGGGGAATGCAGAGCATCGGTGGGGCCTTGTTGTGTCCCTGTCCCCTGTCCCAGCCTCTCAATGTCCCCAGTCCCCTCTGTCCCCACATCCCCAGGGACAGCTACAGGGAAGGGTCCCCTGCCTACGTGTTGAGGTCCTGGTCCTTCCAGACGCGCTCCACCAGCTGCTGCGTGATGCCTGTGTCCAGGATTAGGTTGTGCAGGAGGAAATTGTCACCTTGGGAGAGGAGCAGCATGAGGTGAGGGCCGGAACCTGTGGGGCTGCTTGTGCCCCATGACCTGCATCCCCTCCCGTGAGCTGACCCTGGCTACTCACACTGCTTGGAGTCTGGGGTCACCTTTTCCATGAGGGCAATAAAGTTCTCCAGGAACTCGGTGTTGTTATCTGACAAGTCGAGGTCTTTGCAATACTCTCTGGGGTTGGGTGACAAAATGTGTGGTTCACAAGGACGAAAAAGGCAAGGTCAGTTTTCCCCCCATGCCAGTCGTGCTCATGTCCCCTCACCTGCTGGGCTCCAGCCAGGTGCCCGCAGCCCCATGCCACCTCCTCACCCCAAACCCAGCATGGCAGTGAGGAGTGAGCTGTGCTGGGCTGTGGGAACCTCCACCACCTGTGGTACCTCTGGCTCCATCACCTCTGCAGCCACTGAGGTGCCACCAATGTGTTGTTACCTCCTTGGTATAAACTGGTGCACCCCATGCCCCGTTCTCCCCATACTGGAGGTGCTGGGTGCTGTTGCAGCCACCATGCTACATGTCCCCATCCATACCCGCTGGCAGTGGTACTTACCTTGGGCACATGCTGGGGACCCTGGTGACAGGGACGGTGATGCTGTGCCCGCCCTGCTGGGTGCACCCTGGGTCTGGTTGCTGGGCATTACCGGGGTGAGGGCTGCCTTGGGACCCTTTCCACAGGGCCACCGTGTCCCCTCTTGGGGGAGCAGCCATCTGCACAGCCGCACGGATGCACACGGGTACACGGACGGCACGCCCACGGGGAGAATACGGGATATACGGTTTCTGAAAATGATTGGTGGCACATCCTATGGGTGCCTGCTGAACAGGAGGGAGCTTGGGGAGCTGCTCCATGGCCCAGAGTGCTCGCCCCACTTTTTTTCACCTAAAGATCTACAGCTCCAGCTGCAAAAGCCACGTCCCCCTGCTGCATCCTGAGTCAATGCTCTCTAGCTAAGGTAGGGCAGCTTGAGGCAGAGCCACTCCTCCCACTCTATTCTCCATCCCTATGCTGATCACACCATGGACAGCTTCTTAATTATAGGATTTATACATTTCTTGTTGAGATTCTCCTTTGGCTTCCATGGTTCTCAGACCTCACTGCCCCTGCACATCATCCGAGGACAAGGGACAGTCCCAAAGTCACCTCTGATGCTGTGCTGCAGGCACCATAGGATCGACCTGCTGAATGCAAATTGCAATGATGAAGACCCCACCAGCAGATTGCTTGGCTGCAGCACCGGTGCATGAGCACACAGATGACCTGCCAGAGGTGTTAATGAGGGATGCTCATGGGTTGCACTCTGCAGCCATGAAGGATGGGGTGCTGGGTGCCTGCACACCCTGCCCGATGCCCTCTGCTGACTGTGATGCAGGTGGAGGAGCACGTCTGTCTGTCCGTCTGTTCATCTCGGATTTTCAGAAACTATACCTATATATGCACGTGCATAGGCAGGGCCACACCACGTCCATATATACCGCGCTGACCGCAAGTCCCCAGGGGGGACCTGTGCCACCATCACCGTGCGGCACACGGGCACACAACACAGAGCGGCAGGGGAGGTAGGCAAGGCGAGGTGGGGGCAGCGGGGCCGGGGGGATGCACACCTCGGCAAGCGCACACACAGAGCTACCTGGGAGCAATGAACACATGTCCCTCCGACTCAAAGCTGTTGGGCAGCAGGTATTCAAAATCTGCAACAGAAAGGCGACGTTATCCGGCGGGGTTGCAAACGGAGATGCTGGGGGGCTCAGGAGGGAGAGAGACGGACAGAGAGAGGGCAGGGACAGAGACTGGCTGCGTTGGTAACAAGAGAGAAAGGAAAGCCGTTGTGCTGGCCGGAGGCCCCCGCAGCACGGAGTGCCCACCAACGCGCTGCCAGCATGGGGAGGATTTGGACCGAATTGGCGTCGGAGCACGGTTGGCTCGGTTGGGCGGCACGCTGGGATGCGTGCACACACACGCATATATATGCGCGCGTGGATATATATGCATGTTTGGTGGCGTCTCTCTCTTATTAGGGTCATCGACAACGGGAGGAACCGCATGCTGTGCTCGTGGAGAACCGCCGAAACACTTGGTCATCGGAGAGAAAAGGAGTTTTCAGGCATCGGCATGGCCAAACCAGGCACCTTGACGAGGACAGTCCAACCCGCGGCTTGCCAGAGAGAGGGGCCGAGCAACGCGCTGTGGGGTCCTGCTCTGGGCCCCCCCATCCCTGAGGCACAGCCGCAAGCCCTTGGCCACCCCGCTCCTATGTGGGGGGTCCTCGCTCCCGGGGATGTCCCCTTGGGGCGGCGGTGGATGCGTGTGTGTGGGGAGGTGACATCCTGGGTCCCCACGGTGTCCCCCCACCCACAGCGCGTTGTGCGGCTGGGCAGTGCGGCGCGGCCAGAGGTTGGACTGTTGCTCTCCGAGGGCTGTAGGCAGGGACTGGGAACAAGCCGATGAGAGGAGGAGGAGGAGAAGAGCACAGAACGCTCGCACTGAGCCCATCCGCATTGCCATTGCAGGGGCACGGGAGGAGGCAACTCAAGGCTGATGGGACAGGGCTGAGGGGGACACCGCTGCCCACTGCCGCTCCCTGGCTCCCAGCCCCACTGTTCCCTCCCTGTCCTCCCACCGTGGCCATGTAGGTGCTGTATGATATGGGCGTGGGCATGGCAGGGACGTTGCCATGTCCCACTGTGGATGACATGGTGACAGCCACCTGACTATGTGGGGTGATCACCTGCAGACCCCGATGCCGAGACATCAAGCCCTGGGGTGAGAGCTGGTGCCTGGATGGGGCTGATGGCATCCCTGCAGGGCAGGGGACATGCAGCACGGTGACATCACGGCCCCAGAAAGCCCATCCCAAGGGGCAAGGGAGTGGCGGTGAGGGCACCACTGGGGTCCCTGGGCCCTGTCCCTCCACCCCATATCCCCAGCCTTGCTCTGCACAGCCCTATCCCGTTCAGGTTGAGTTGTCTTGAGGGGGGGGAAGGAAGCAGAGGAGCTGGGTTCGGGGGGGGGAGAAGAGAGCCGGAGGGGTGAGAGCAAGGAGAGGGCAGCAAGAAGAGGGTTCGGCAGAGGAGGAGTGGGATCCCGGCTAGCTACTGAAAACCTCGTCCATCAAAAACGATTTTGGATGAGACCGGGCCTGGAGCAGAATCAGGTCGGATTTTGGAGAGATGTGCAGGAAGGGAGTGGGGTCACCGTGGGAAAGCTCTCATGAACATAACAAGACATGTCGCTTCCAAGTAACAGGGGGCTGGAGGAGTGGAGGAGGAGAGGAGGAGGAAGAGGAGGAGGAAAAGGAGGAGGAGGAGGAGAAGGCAGGGTCGTGGCAGTTTGCAGGTTCGGCAAACGGGCAGGGAAATGGGCAAGCAGGGGAGGTGGGAGCCGTGGAGGCAGGGCTGGGGCTGACACGGGGCGGGACGGGTGGTGAAGGTGAGTGGTCTGAGACTGAAAATACTTGCCCTTCATTTTGATGTTTGGTACTGTGTGAATCCACCATAGAGAGAAAGCAAGAAAAACAACAAACAAAAAAACAACAAACGAAAAAAAAGGGGGTTGGGTGGAAAGGGGGGAGGGGGCACAAACAATATTTTATTCAATCGCCGTTTGAATAAAAATATTGTGTATCATAATCATACCAAAAGGAAACCTCTTGCAAAAAACGACACGTAAAAGAAAAAGGAAAAGAAAAAAAAAAAGAAACAAAAAGGCCACAGTGAAATAATAAAAGATGCCAAGATATCACTAGAGAAATATATATATATATTCAGTACTCCAAAGGAAAATGCGAGTCAGCAGCAAACACTTGCAACAAGTCTCGGTACAGCGATGCTCGCACTGCGGGGCATGCAGAACAGCGGGCGGGGGGCGGAGGTGGGGACCCCCCTCCCGGGGTCCGGGGGCTCCTGGCGGCCGCAGGGGCCGAGGGCCGGGGGGTGGGAGCTGGAGGCAGCACCGGCCCCGCTGTCGGGAGAGGGTGGGGGTCCGGGGTGGGGGGGAGAGGGGGCCAGGCTAACACACAAGTACACGGATTCAACCGAAAGGAAAGGAAAAAATTGAAACCAACCGAAAGCGAACTCATTGAAACAATAAGAATGGTTGAAAGCAAAGAACTGTAATCAAACGAAGGAAATAAATAATAAAAAAAAAAGACCCATGCAAACTTTCACAGGCTTGGCAAATTCCCTGTGCTGCAGCGCTATCCTGGCCCCAGCAGTGCCGGCCGTTCGGGTGCCACGTGCCAGCACCCAGCCCTGGGCGCAGCTGGTCCTGCCTCGGGTGTGTGCGCTCACCTCCTCGCGCCTCTCAGGCTCGCTTTTTTGTCTGCTTTCCTCTGACAGCTATTCTCATCCCTTTTCTCATAGGGTTTGGCTTCGTTCTTTCCCCCCCGAAAGCTGTATCTGGGGTGTGGGCAGGGGCAGAGGGTGTGCGGGGGGGCACGGAGGGGAAAGGGCTACTTACACTTCACTTGCAGGATCTGGTCACTGAGGTTGGCCTGGATGTAGTAGGTGCTGTAGGGGGGCAGGACCAGCCCCAGGCTGCAGGGGAAGAGCAGATGGGCAGCGTAAGGCATGGCATCATGCAGCACCCATGGGCACTGTGCCGGTATCCAGGAGAAGCATGGGGCACTGAGAATTTCTGGGGCACTCATAAGTATCCTGGGGCATCCATGAGCATCATGGAGCACTCACTGGTATCCTGGGGCATCCACGGCCATTTTGGGGCACCCGGGGCTACCATGAGGCCTTCATGTCCACCATGGAACATCTGTGGCCACCAAGGGGCACCCAGGGCCATTCTGGGGCACCGAGGGCCATCACAGGGCGCCCACAGCCACGATGGGGCCAATCACAGCCATCCTGGAGCACCCAGGGACATCCTGGAGTACCTGAAACCACCTTGGTGCACCCAAGGACGTTACTGGAGCACCCAGGATTTCCCCAGGGCCATCCCCTGGGCAGAGGCAGGTGACAAGGCAGCCCAGCTGAGGTTGAGATCGGTACCGAGGACAGCGAGTGCCTGCCTGGTACCTGGGAGATGTTTGTGGAAGACAGACCAACTGCCCCCAAAGAGGGGGAGCCAAAAAGAGCTGCGACCCTCAAATGAAGGGTCAGAAGATTTCCAGTGAGTGGAGAAAGGAGAAAACTCTTATATGGCCAATGGCTCTGGGAGAATCCATGTACCAGGAGGGCTCGGCATACGAGACTGTGAGATGAGGGTGGGGAAGGAGGAGATGGGAGGTGGTCCTGGGGCTGCTGAACCTATGGAAGATGCTGTGGGAGTGTGCCAGGCCGGTGGGCACTGGCTGCAGAGTGTGGTGGCATTTGGTGACAGCATTCGTGCCCAGCCCCGAGCTGGGAGAGCGCCATCTTCAGGGCAGCGCCTGGCGGTCTTGGAGGTCTTTTCCAGCCCAGAGGATTCTGTGATTCTACAGATGCAGAGGAAGCTTTGCTCTCCATCTCCAAAGCAACATGTGCAATGACCTGGAGTGCACCTCTGCCACTCCCTGTCTGTGGGAACATGCTCGAGGTGGCCTTGGAGACCGCTGGAGCTCCTCGCACGTGTCCCCATGCCAGCACAGGTCCCGCTGAGGCCGCTCACCTGTAGTTGGTGCTTTTGATGGGAGCCCACGTGTAGGTCCTGAACACCTCGTCGATGTATTGCTGTTGGGTGGTGGTGGTGGGTCAGGGCTCTGCATGCTGGCATTGCCCCATGTGCCATGCCCCCTCCCTGCAGCGTTACCTCATCCAACGACTTGATGAGTGTCTTGATGAACCTCTGCCCATCGTTCCCATCAATCATGCTTCTCCGGATCTGGGGGACATGGAGAGGCGCATGAGGGCAGTCTGCCTCCTGTGCCACCAAATGTCACCCAGGGATGGTGACTGGTCCCCAGCAGCAGCCCAGTGGTGCCAGCCTACACTGCCGTGCCCCAGCCCTGCCCACCTCCTCCTTGTTCTCATCCTCCAGTTCGGCGTCCAGGAAGTCCAGCGTCACCGGCTCGTGGAAATTGATGATCTGTTGGTGGAGGGGGAGGGCTTAGAAGGCTTCCTGCAGACATTGCTGAGCACAAACAAACTCATCACAGTCCCCCACCCATGGTGGGACAGAGCGGCTGCTGTCACCTGACGGACAGCCTGTTAGCATGGAGACAGGTGGAGTGTGACATAGCTGCCAATGAGACAAATGGACCCTGGCGGTGCAGTTCCTCACCACTTCGTCCTTGCTCGCTGCCCAGTGATGAATTCCCACAATTAGCTCCTCCGCAGGAGCTGGCTCTCCTGGACAAATGAGCCTATTTGCCTAAGATCCCTGGGAATTCCTATTTCTCCTGGGCCATGGCAAAATCCTACACACTGCTGTCAGGAGGGTGGTGGGAGCTTCACATGTGCTATATCTCCTGGCCACGGTGCACCCCAGGGGCAGAGGTGAGGTCCTAACCAGGGGCACACTGCTCACCTGGGGCTGCAGGTTGGGATGCAGCAGCACGTAGCCATTCAAGTCAATGGCGAAGACGTAGCCATTGGCGCCCAGCTGTGGGGGGACATGAGGAGGGGTGAGCTGTGCCGATCCATGCTGAGCCCATGCCATCCCTGAGCCCAGCCTCTGCAGGCTCCCAGCCTCCCCCAAGGCTCTCCAACCCCCAAAGTTCAGCTCCCCCTATTGTAGAGCCCTGGAATGGGAAGCATGCAGGTGCAACGGAACCCAGCCATTTTCTTCTCTCCTTGACTCTGAGTATTGTATTCTGAACCACCGCCCATTGTTTCTGCAATTGCTCTGTGTTCCCAGGTGCCACACACCCGCCACCACAGGCACTGCTTTGCTGCCCTGCTGGAGGTGCCCACGCCATGCTCAGTACTGCAGTGTGGCACCAGGACCCTGGGGCAGGGGCAGATGGGGCAAAAGCTCCCCACGCACATTGTATCGTGGTGTCAGCTTCTTGATGTCGTTCAGCGCCACATCGATCCCCATCACGCCGAGGATGAGCTGGTTCTGGAAGGCAGCACGAGGCAGTAGAATCAGTGGGTGCACCCACACCCAGGGCCAAACCCTTCAGGCAGCACTCACGGGTGCTCACGGGAGCTGTGCTCACCCTCTGGCTCCACAGAGGGGACAGGACCCCAGGAGTGCTCCTACCTTCCTGTCACTGTTGTCCTCTGTCAGGTTGAACACAGGAAGCGTGCCCGTCACCACCAGCCCCAGCCCCTGTAGCAGCACAGGAGGTGTCACCCAGCCCTGTGGTGGCACCTGGCTGTCACACCACACCGGAGCTGTGCCAGGTGGGCATCCTTACCAGAGCATCCTGGTAGACGTTGGTCCACTGCACCTGCTTGGCGCGGTTCCCAGCCAGCACCATGGGCCTGCCCAGCACATCCAGGTACTCCTGCAGGGACAGTGAGACATGGGGCACAGACACCTCCTGCATGCTCTGTCCTATGCACATGCAGGATGGAATCCCAAAGTGGGGCCACAGAGGTGCCAGCACGGCATCCTGCAGGGAACAGCTGTCCCCAAGGGTACATGGTGACAGCCCATATGGTGAGGGAAAGGGGCAGGGGTTACTGCACAGGACATATTCCAACAGCACCATAGTGTTTTGGGGCCGGGCAGATTTTTGGGGTGCCCCAGAGGGCAGCTTTGTCTGCTGCTGTGTGTCAGCACCCCGCCTCACCTGTGTGTTGATGCGGATGGCACCAATAGAGGGGATTTCGAAGTAGTAACCTCGGAAAGGAAAGAGAGATGCAGGTAGAGAGCCAGCATTCTGCAGCATCTGTCCCACTGCCTGCCCATGCTGCCAGCATCACTGCCAGCCCACATGTGCCAGGTGACCCCACATCCCAGGGGGTGCTTCCAGCCCCTGCTCACCTTTGTTGGCACATGCCATCCACTGCAGCGGGGTCACGTCATAGTTGTGCTGCCCCACAGAGAAGGTAAAGACACGCACCTGTGGCACAGCATGGCTGTCAGGGCACATGGCAGCACTGGGATCCTGCTGCAGGGCCCCAAGCTTGTCCTGTGACCCCATCTCCATGGTGCTCAGAGCCTGCCAGCACTGCCCATGCCCCTTGCCAGGCAGTGGGGAGCGCTCACCGTCTTATTGGGCCAGTTGTACTTCTCAAAGACATCCTGCACCCGGTCCTCACCACCGTCCGTGAACATCATGATCATCTTGTTGCAGTTGGCACGTGTGATGTTGGACTGCAAGGCAGAGGGATGGCGTGTGAGGTGAGACGGTGCACAGGGAGAGAGATGCTAAATCCCAGCACCCATGGGTGCCGCTCAGAGAGCCCCTAGCACCCATGGGCACAGCCCCGGCTCACATTCTGCAGCTGCTCGAAGGCATACTCGAAGCCAGCCTTGTAGTCAGTCGTGCCCTTGGCCACCATGCCGTGCACATCCTCCTTGAAGACCTTCTTGTTGCGGATGTTGGCCTGCACCAGATGCTTGAAGCATGACACCGGCTTTGCCTTTTCGTTGAACTGGGAGGGAGAAGACAGAGCGAAGGGTCTTGTGAAGGGGAACCAAAAGCAGCCCCAGCAGCACATCTGTTCATTGTGGGGGATTTGGATCAGATAATCCAACTCAAATGATTCCAAGATTCCATGGTTCCATGATTCTATGGTTCTATGATTCCATGACTCTGTTTCCATGATTCTGCAGTTCCACGATTCTATGGTTTAGTGATTTCATGATTCTATGATTCCATGACTCTGTGGTTCTAAACTCATGGGCTGGAGCATGTCCCAGCAGTACAGGGACACTGGGGAACTGGGGACGCTGGAGTGATCTTAACCTGAGTGTGCTTGCCTGGCACTTTGGGAAATCAGTTTGCTGTTTTGGAGACTAGATCTCTGGGTTTGGCATTTCCAGTCCACATAGCACATCCTTGGCCAGCACCCTGCATATGGTGGGTCAATGGGCACATCCTGCTGCCTCTGCAGCATGCTGCATAGCAGCAAGTGAGCAGGGAATTAAGGGGTGATGGAACAAACCCTACAGTTGGCATTCTGGTACGTGTCTGGAGCATCTGGGTATGCACAGGAGGTGAGGGAGCACGTGTGCTGAGCTGAGCTGAGCTGAGCTGAATTGAGCCATGCTGCAGAGACGCAGCAAGAGCAGGTGCTGCCTTCTGTTTCTGCTCCGCTTCCTGGCAGCAGGGACTGCATTAAGGGAGCAGTGATGCGGTGGAGGGGCCAGACGTGCTAACGAGCACTGAGCACCGGCGTGGTCATGGCCAGGCGGGGGGGCAGAGGCTGCTGGCAGCCCAGCTCGTCTCCATGCACGGCCACCACACTGTACTATGTCACGGGCTGGTGGCACTGTCATGCAAGCCAAAGCTATTGTCCACCAGTAATGCCATGGCTCCCTCTGACTTTGCTTGGGCCCAGGCATCTCCCAGCGGCTCAACGTTGCTGGGCTGATGGCCACCATGTCCCCAGCACTCCCCAGAGATCCAGGACCCCTCAGGGAGCATGGGGCAGGGCTCAAACAAGCAGGGCTGGATCCCTACGGCTCTCCTTGAGCTGGCCTTGAGCTGCCCAGTAGCTGCCAGCAGCACCATTTGAGCATTTCCTGTAAAAGAAACAGAGCAGGGCTCACTGAGGCCACGTTGACGTAGTCATCATCCGAGAGCGTGTCCAGCATCTCGTAGACCGAGGTCTTCATCAGCTTGAGGGTGAGGCCGCTCACACTGCCGCTCCTGCCACAGAGAGGGGAGTGGGTACTTGGCACGGGGAGGGGGAGCGTGGGGTGCCCACTGCCCGCCCGCTCTACTCACACATCCACGATGATGACCATGTCCTTTGGGGATGAAGCGCCCTGGATGTACCTGCAGGGCACAGAGCGGGGTCAGTGTGTGGCAGGAGCTGTGCTGGGGTCCCTAGCCCTGCCGATGCTGTGGCCTCACCAGGTGGGCATGCAGAGAGGCACGGCCAGCTCGCCGCCGCGTCAGCTTAACGAGCTCTAAATGCTAAACTCCTCCATCATCGCAGCCCTTTTCTGCACGCTGATTGTGCTGACACATGCATCCATATTAAAATGCTATTTACCCCCCTGGAAGCTTCAAAGGCCAGGCTGATGAGGTTATTTTTAGCTCCGAAATAATAACAGCGTGTAAATCATCCTCCCACCCCCCAAACAATCAGGAGCGCTTTCTCACCCCACGGATGCACCCAGGCTGTGCAGAGGTGTCTGGCTTGGCCCCAGCCCCATGGCACTGTCCTATAGAGCATAGGGATAGCTCTCCCCCTGCCCCAACCCAAACCCAGCACTGTTGTCGGGCCGGGGGCTCAGCTTGTTCCCCCCGCCTGCTCCCTGGGAACTGAGATGCTGTCTGTAATGGGTTGTGGCACCACATTTGTCTCCGGTGTCCCAGTCAGATTAATACCCAGAGCTCCGCAGGAAAAGGCTTTATTTAATAGGGCCATTTGTCAAGGGAGGGGAAGGAAAGCGAGCAGCACTGGCAGCCGCTGCCGTCCGGTGGCTCTGCCTGTCCCTGGGGAGGCTGGTGGCACAGCTGGGGCACAGGGACAAGGGGATCCAATGTGCCTCACAGGGGGCTCTGGGGATGGAGCTGCCAGGGATATTGGGGGACAGGTGGGCATCGTCAGTGGAGCAGAGTGTTAATTAGCACTGCCGGGTGAGCACGTCTACCTGGGCTAATGGGGAGTGACTCCATTATACCCAGTGCAGTGTGTGGCTCAATGCAGCCTGCAGCCAGCACTTAGGCACCACGGTGCTGGCACTGCCTTTGCTGTCCTTCTGGTTCCCTGTTTGCTGCAGGAACGCTATGTGGGATCGGTGTGGGGCACCTCCACCTACGCCATTGAGATCTGAGGGCTTATCTCCACCCCCCACCATCCACCTCCCCAGTGCTGGAGGAGGGGAGGGAGCGGGAGCTGAAAGCCGCAGCCTGGCTGCCCCTGCCTGTGTTATTGTATCCATTTTCCAACGCCAACGATGTGTGAAATGAAAATTGGACAGAGCTGGCTGCTCACAGCACCGGAGCGCGGCGTGCCGGGGGGCAGCGGGGAGGGGGCACAGGGGACGGGGGCCCTCGCTGTCCCCCCCTCAGCCACTACCCCCTTACCAGGGCCGTCTGCGCACGTCGTACAGGTCGATCTTATTGGGTGCTCTCCATGGGGTGGCTGCAGGGAAAGGCGAGTGTTGAGCAAGGGGGACCTGGGGACGGGGGACCTGGGGCAGGGGGCTGCCCACATCACACACCAGGGTAGTAGCGGGTGACGCCGGTGGCACTGCCGAAGACCTGCCAGAGCAGGGAGGGGTCTTCCTTGTGGTTCTCAATGAAAACGTCCTCCAGTGCCTGTGTCCAGTTCAGCTCGTTGAGGATCACGGTGGCTGCAAGGCACAGACCGGGCGGTGGTGGGGACCACAGGGGACAGCGGGGCACATGGCACACCATGTCCCTTCCACCCCTTCCCCAGGAGCCTCGTGGGGCCAGGTTGCACCAGGCCCTGCTCTGCGTTCCCGTTGGCCCCCGCGCCTGATGCTGAAGCAATTAAGATGCTGTCAAACAGAGGTTTTAAATTATTCAGCTATTAAAGCAGCAGATAAGCTCCCGGCAGCGTCAGCCCATAGTTAATCAAATGGGGCCGACAGCATGCGGGGACAGCGGCATGTCCCCATGGGCATGGGGCTCCTCTCGGAACCCTGATGGCAGCGGGGCCCTGCGGTGCACCAACACTGCCAGGAAACCTCCTGTCCCCTTGGTGACAGTGAGGACTGCCACCCCTGGGTGACGTGTCCCTAAGCCCTGCCTTGGGGCAGCGCAGGGCTCAGCACTCTGTTGTGTGCAGCAGTGTGTCCCTGTCCCACCTCGTCCTCATTCCCATCCCCGCCCCACAAGCAAGTGATTGTAGCTTTAATTAAAAGTGGCACTGTAAATAAAACACACATAGGATGTCATTTGCATGTGTAGCCAGGGGTGACGGCGGAGGGTGGCTCTGCAGGGTTTTAATCAGCACATGGGGACGTGCTCTCTGGACTGTCCCCAGCCCGGTCCCCAGCAGGGTGGTGGCTGTGCTCCCGCATGGCACCAGCACTGCACTGGGGTTTGGAGCAAAGAATGCTTCCCCCAGCCCACTCTGCCTCCCCTCACTCTTATCATTTGTTTCATGAGCTGCTTGGCCTGTGCTGGCTGGGTAATAAAACTAATTGCCATTTCTAATCCAGAGATGCTGATGTGGTGAAACTGCTCCGGCATCATGGCTCTGAGTGTGCGAGACAGGAGTGTGAGCTCTGTCCTTGTCACCTTGCCCAGGAGCCCTTGCCAAATGCCAGTGAGTGAGAGTGGCAGGGGGTGCAGGGCCGTGTGGGGGTCGTGTTCCTCAGCAGCGGTGCCTGGGCTGGGTGCAGTGCATGGACGGAATCAGGCAGGGAGCAGTGCCCGCTCTGTGCAGAGCAGCCACTAGAGGGAAATGCAGACCGGCTGTCACCATGCGTCAGATGGACTGTCACTGCGTGCAGCTGCAGCCGGGAGAGCTGGGAGAGCTCTCGCTGCTCAGGAACTGACACCTCTCTAAAGTGGACATGTCAGCCTGGCCCAGGTCCACAAGCAGGTGTGGCACATCCTGCTCTTCCATCACACACACTATTGTTCATCTATCTGTTCATCCATCCACTTGTCCATCCTTCTGTTCTTCATCCATCGATCCACCCATCCATCTATACATCTGTCCGTCCGTCCGTCTATCCATCCACCCCCCCATCCATCCACCCCCCCATCCATCCATCCATCCATCCTCTTGCCACCTCACTGCCCACTGCTCTCACCTTGCCCAGCCCAGTGCACCCTGCAGGGCACTGATGCAGGGTTGAATATCCCCACATCACCCCACAATGGTCCTCTACTGCCCTCCCCTGGGATTTCACCTGCCCTTAATACCCCCCCATAACCTCACCCCAAAGCATCCCGAACCCAGTGTGCACCCTGGGGACAGCCACTCTGTGGCCGGTGGGGACCCGGAGGACGCGGAGGCAGGCAGGTGGGGGCACTCACAGCCTTTGTAGATGTCAGTGGGGATCTGCACGGCAGCATACGAGTAGTTAACCTTGGTCTTGAAGTTGGCATCATCGGTGAACTCCAGCTTTAGGGAGTTGGACTTCTCCCGCTCGATTTCTTCCCCATCGGGATCATCCTGGGAAGGAAGCAGGGTCAGTGGAACATGCCCTGGGTACCTCTGCCTGTCCCCTGCCCACCAGTCTCAATTCTGCTTAACTTGCCCTAGGGGTTTGGTAGCACCACCGGGCTGAAGCCAGACGAAAATCCCACCCGGGCAAAAAAATCCTTGAAAATCAATTAGCAGCAAGAGGCAACTATCAAAGAACAAATTAAAACCGAGCGCAGCTCAGCGCTCTGTCAATAAGCAATGCAAACAATATTTAATTATGGTGGAGAGATGGCAAATCCCTCACTGCTGGTGCTGGATCACACTCCCCCCCCCTGCGCCAGCACTCATCCCTGAGCCCTGGGCAGGGGACGTGCCCTGTGCCCAGCCCAGCTGCTTGCAGCTGTGGGATGGTAGAAGGGCTGGGCCTGAGCAGGGAGGGAGGAGACGTGGCGGTGACATTGCCCTGACATTGGGAGAGAGGCAAAGCCATTTGCCACAGCTCGGGAGAGTAACAGGATTGCTGTGAAGGGTTCGGTTTTAATTCCAAGAGATGTGTCGGCAGTGTAAGTGTGCTGCAGGCCACAGGGCCTCCCGAAAGATGCTGAACCCAATTACGGCTGCAGGAGCCTGGCTGCAGGCATGGATTACTCTGCCTCCCTGGCATGGTGTAGCTGGGGTGGAAATCCAGATTATGCTGTGCATTCTGCTCTATCACCCACCCCAAAGGTTGGGCACTGTGGGGCTGCTCCCGCCCCTAAATGTGCCAATTTCAGAGTCAAACACAACATTGCAGGTCCAGGGAGGGCCCCGTGTGTCACTGGCACCTGCACAGCAAGAGCCCATGGTGAGCTGATGCCACCCTGCTGCTGTCAGCCCTTACCCACACAGCTCCAGGCCCAGCTTGGAGCTCTCTGGTGTGGGGTCACTGCATCCTGGTGCAGCTTCTTGGAGCCATCACGGCCAGCTGGAGCACAGAGGGACCGTGAGTAGAGCCAGGGGCAGAAACACTGCATGGAATCAGCGCTGGAGCTGCTGTCGGAGCATGGGAGGCAGCGATTTGGGACTTATATCACCTTCACCAAGCACAGCTCTGTGCGCCCCTGGCCGGATTGCGCAGCATTTCTCACCTTAGCATTTCAGAAGAACTCCGAAGCATCAACTGTATCTCACAAATGTTACTGTACATCCTACGCAGCCTAACGAGATGCTACAGATCTGGATACTTTGTTTGACCGTTCTTGGCAATGCAACAGCATTACCCACATGTATGGCTTCTGCACCACCGAGCTCTCATCAGCCGGCTGGGAGGTCAACCACATCCCCGTGGCTTTCTTTGGTGAGCTGTCCTGTGGAGTGACATCTCCATGGGAACGAGCCGCTAAGGATGGCTGGGGATGTGTCAGCACAGTGACAAACACTCGGTGACATCGCGGCCCCCGGCGGGCTGTGTGCCCCCAGGTGCCCCCACCTGCCTCCATCCCACCATGCAGTTGCTGCACTCGGAAGGAGAGCCCAGCCCAGCCCAGCAGAACGCCGCCCTTCTCCCTCTCCCAGCCCTGAACCTTTCCTGGAACGCAGCAGCTCTGCAGCCACGCTCCTGCTCCAAGCAGCACGGCTATAAATAACAATCAGCCTCTCCAGCCGCCTCCCCTCGCCCTCTGCTTTTTTTTTTTTTTATCTTTGCCAAAGGTACTGTTTGGAGATCTTTCTAGACCATTTATTTTTTGAATTACCAGCCAGAGGAGAGAAGAAGGGGGAAGAAAAAAAGAGAAGGAAAAAAAAAAAAAAAAGAAAAAAGGCAAAAGAGAGAAACTTCTCAGGCTGATAGCTTATCGGGAGGCAATCCAAATGCCACATGAGTCGAGGAAGTTGGAAGATTAAATTTTCCAACCCCTTTCATCTGCTGCTGACATTTCAGGGCCGCTCCCCCTCCCTCCCTTCCTGCAGCTGAGGCTCTGGGTGGCAAGAGCTGGTGGCAGAGCGGTGACACGTCCCTGTGCCGTGGGACAGGACATGGCAACGTGTCCCCACAGCTCCAGGAGAGGTGCTTGCGGCTGTGGTGGGAGCAGAACAGTTTAGGACAAGCAGTTCTCCCCCTGCCCTACCTCCTCTGCAGCTCACATCAGCAGACCGGACTGTGACACAGAAATGGAAGCATTCTGTTTGAAGGATGACAAGAGGAAACAATCTGACTCCTAATTGCTTTTCTGTGCCTTTTGTGAAGCTGGAAGCGCAGAATCTGGCTCACGGATAAGTTCAGTTGGTGCAAACCTGCATCTCTCAGCATGGAAATGACTCTGGGCCACTTGGGTTTCCCTAGTAAAGACCCACTCCAGCCCTGCCACCTCTCAGTGGGGCTGTTGTGGCATCCAGCTTTGCTCTGGAGGCACGGTGGGGAGCGGTCCTGCAGGGATGGGGACAAGGACATCCCCAAGGACTGATACTGCCGTGTTGTGGGGACATCTGCCCAGAGAGCTGGTGGTGCCCCATCCCTGGAGACACCCAAGGTCAGGCTGGATGGGGCTCCGAGCATTTGATGGAGCCATGGTCGTCCTTGTTCACTGAGGGGAGTGCAACCAAATGGCCTTCAATGGTCCCTTCCAACTCGAATGAAGGTGTGATTCTAGGATCTCTGCAGCCACAGCTAAACCCCACTTCACTGCCTGGGAAACCATCCCCTGGGAGAGCAACACGGCCCTGCGCATCCTGACCCAGGCCCTGAATTGAGCACCATCCCCTGGCACACACAGCTGCAAACCTCTTCACTTCTGCGCTCTGCCCACTGCACCCCGCAAAGAGCGGGTGCTGCCCTGAGTGCAACTCTGAGGACGAATCCCCTCCCCGTCCCCTGCTGGCAGGGAGTGAGGAGCACTGCTCCTGCAGCACGCGGAGAGCCCTGTGGTCCCCCAGGAACACGTGCCGGCGGCCCAGCTGCTAAAGCCCACTCAGAAATCCAAAATCTGCTTAGGGAGATAGCAGAGCCGAGTGCAAGCAGAATGAAAAGGAAGCTCATTTCTTTCTCTCCCTCCTTAAACCCAGTGTGAGGCTGGTGAATAAGTCCTGGTTACACTGAATAGGCATTGTCTATCAGAACCAACTTCATTTCAGCGAGATCCTGCTCAATTTAAATATAAAAATTGAAGCAAAATAAAAGAAAAGACAGAAAGAGCGCTATTTAGTGTGGTTCAGACCCAGTGGTATCGCCTTCCCCCTTCTTTATTTCAACACCACCTTCTTTTCTCTCCGTTATTTTCTGCCAGAATTAAATTTGCCAGGGTCACGCTGGGTGGCAGCGATGGCATAAGTGCAGGAGCGCTGCTGGCAGGGTGAACAGCATCCTGCCCCGTGCCTTTCCCCACATGCAGGGACAGCACAGCCCTGCACTGGGCTGTGGCACAAAGCTCCCTGCGTGCCAGCAGCTCGGTGTGACGTGGGGTGATGGCAGTTCCCTGGGGACTGTCGGTGCGGATTTGAAGCCCTGATTGCCAGAAATCACAGGATGGCTGCGCAGGGAGAGGGCAAAGAATTAGCTTCAGTCACTAATTAAAGATTTGCTCTTCATTTGAAATTCAGATGCCGGCTTTAATTTTAGAAACTTCAGCAGCAGCACAGGGACCTGCCCAGCAGGACCAGGGGTGGATGTCACTGTGGTGTGGCCGGGGCTGGGTCACAGCGATGCGCGTGCACCCATGGTGCAAAGGGACGGCGGTACTCACAGTACTCACAGCACTCACGAATTCCGTGTCTGCCTTGGAGTCGTAGTACTCGATATCTTCCTCCTGCAGAGAGAGCAGAGCTGCATTAGAGCCAGGCATGGATAGGGGTACCGGGGGGTCCCCATCACTGCCCCGTACCCCTCCCCATACCGCAGCACTGGGATGCAGACCCTCACCATGCACAGCCTGCTCTTCTGCCAGTCACTCAGTCACTGGGATGCAGCGTGTCCCCATGCCCGGGATGCTGCAGTTGTATTGTGGGAGCTGTGGCACAGCCAGGCAGCGAGGTGGCTGTCCTTGCCTGCACAGGTAGAACGGTGAGCAGCATCCTCACTTTGTGGCCTTAATTTGGGGTTTTTAAAAGCTCTTTACGCAGAAAGGTCTGCTCAGATCCCTCTCCCTGCACACTAGGGCTCGAGGCAGCTGACAGCACTCGGAGAGAGGCCGGCGATGCAGGCAGCCGTCACACTGTCAGAACAGCATCTCATCTCCCAGCACAGGGGGGAATTAAAGGGCGCTCAGGGCTCTCTTGTGCACGTGGCGATGCGGGTGCAGTGGTGGAACACCCTGCATGGCTGCCACTGCTCACTGCCCACAGCATGGGGATGGCCCATGGGGAGCCCCCATGTCCCCTCCACAGCCCCCCCAGGTCTGGCAATGAGGTAATGTTGATAGAGGGGAGCAAAAAACTCAACACAGCACCTTCTGGTTTTTGTTATTAAAAAGCCCAATCGCTAAGGGAGTGTACTTATTGATTATCTGTGATTTGTTGTGAGATGCTGAGGGGTTCAAGGCAACAAGGGAAGGAAAAAATAATATATTGCCCCCTGGATACTTCCCTCCCCACAGCCCTGCCCCATACCAGCACCATGCCCCTGGCCCGTGGCCATCTGCACCTTGCAGTGAGAAGGGCCCCTGGAGACCCATAACACAAATGAGCTAATTTCATGTTTAACGAGCTTTAATCAGAAGTGAGTGTGACTAACAACAGCCAGCCAGAAGGGGCTTTGTTATTCATTTTATCTTCCATCAGCTCCTCCAAAAAGCTCTGTCCCCCTCTGGTGCACAGGATTGGGGACTTGACCATGTCAGCAGCTGGAGTCACTCTGTCCATGCTCCATGGTGATGTCTGTGCAGGGGACATGTGGGACATCATCATGGCTCCACACCGGGATCTCAAAAAGGGAGCAGGGAGTACTACGGTTTCCTCTCCCTTGCATTTGCTCTTAAAGCCACACTTGTACTCTTCACCCGATTCTCACCTCCTCCTCCTCTGACCCAACCAAGCACAGGGGCTGTGTAAACAGTGCTGGTATTTCTGCTGTCCTTCTGAATAAATTCCAATAGAGAAAACGAGTGGGTGGAGACGTTGAGAGGTTTGGGAGCAAGAGCCCTCCCAGCACTGCCCTTGGCTCTTGGAAGTGAACCTGTGCAGAAGCACTTGCTGCTGTGAACTGGTGGAGCACTGGTTTGAACTGGCAGGTGCTGGATGTTGCTCCTTGGTGTAGCACTAAGTACTTGAGTGCAGCAGCTGTGTGACAGCACCATGAGCATCATTACCAGAGAAGCACTGGGTTATTTTAGTCTTCCAGTACGTGGAAATTGCCCTGGTGGTTAAGTGCAATCACAGAGCAATCTGCAAAAACTGGTGAAGCCACCAGCACCACGCCCTTCAATTCTGTGGTCCCCTCCTGGGTGGGGCTGCCCCATGCCCTATGGGGACCCCAACCCCCCTCATGCCATCCCCAGCCTCTGCAAGCACTGAAATACATCTTTGCTTTTAACACGCACTGGAACAGGTTGCCCAAGGAGGCTGTGGATGCCCCCATCCCTGCAGGCATTCAAGGCCAGGCTGGATGTGGATCTGGGCAGCCTGGGCTGCTGGCTGGCGACCCTGCACATAGCAGGGGGTTGAAACTAGATGAACATTATGGTCCTTTTCAACCCAGGCCATTCCATGATTCTACAAACAATTCCAGCAACTGAAAATGACATCAGAAAGGTCAACACTCTGCTGGCAGAGCTGCAGCCCAGTAGGGTCAGAACATGGGGGAGGATGGAACCATGGGACAGGGATGGCATTCCATTGGCACCTCAGCATGCAGCAAGCTGGGCATGTTGGTGCTGCCAGCAGTGGTAAGCACACACCTGGGGGCCCCCGGCTCCTGGAGAAACCCACATGCAGCATGTGGGAATGCAGGATGACCCACAGCTGTGTGTCAAGATGAATCCCTCCCATTACGGCCCAAAGGATGAAGCAGAATGCACCACAAACAGAGCTCCGTGCATGCAGCAGCCCCACCAAGGACAGGTGGGGACAGCCATCATCATCTGCCTCAGCATTTTTTTTTTTTTTGAAAAGCAATTTCCTCCTTCCTCCTCTCTGACAGAGCAGGGGGAATATTTAAGTGATCTGTCAGCACCTCCGTCACCCAACCAAGCGGATGCTCCCTGCCGATGGCACCCTGTCCCAGGGCAGGGGGACAGCAGGATGCCCATGGCACCCCTCGCCCTATCCATCCCCGCTGCCCCCAGAGGCACATCTGCTTCTCTTAAGAGCAAACGGCACAACCCCGCGGTTTTTGTGAATGATTTTCTTGTTCTACTTTCGTCCAGAATGGCTCTACAGCAAGGTTGGTGCTTTAACACAGTAATTCTCAGAGCGTAATGAAAGCTGACATTATATCAAACACAATAAAGACTCTCAGTTGATGGAGATCATTCCTGAACACACAAACCCATTAAACTGAAAAAAAAAATATCAATTCTACACACTCGCCAGCCAAAAGAAAATGTGATTTGTTATCTAAAAGGGGGTTATAAACACAGCTTCAATGCACTTTCTGTGCTGTAATGAAAACTGGGTTTGAAATAGCAAGACGACTGCAAATTAGAGTATTTTATTTTATTTTCTAACTTTTTAGGTAAGCCTTCTACAAGGGCAAGTGCAAGGTTACGGTGGCGATCTTTCTGTTCTCCACCGATAAGTAGGATCTGTAATTAAAGGAGGAGAAAAATGAAACGCGGATAAGGAACTTGTGCTTGCCCTTCTGAAGATGCTTTGACCGCAGAGGCTGCTGTGGTTCTACATGGCTGCAGAGCAGGGCTGGGGACAGCCAGCCACAACCCCACTGCTGTGCTCCCACTGCCCTTCTCCCATTGCTGCAGCCAGCCACCGTGCTCCCATCACTGCCTTCCCACTGCCATAGAATCATAGAATGGCCTGAGTTCAAAAAGGACCACAATGCTCATCCAGTTCCAACCCCCTGCTGTGTGCAGGGTCACCAACCAGCAGACCAGGCTGCCCAGAGCCACATCCAGCCTGGCCTTGGATGCCTGCAGGGATGGGGCATCCACAGCCTCCTTGGGCAACCTGTTCCAGTGCCTCTCCACCCTCCATGTGAAAAACTTCCTCCTGATATCCAACCTAAACCTCCCCTGTCTCAGTTTAACAGCATTCCCCCTTGTCCTATCACTATCCACCCTCATAAACAGCCGTTCCCCCTCCTGTTTATTCGCTCCCTCCAAGCACTGGAAGGCCACAATGAGGTCTCCCCAGAGCCTTCTCTTCTCCAAGCCAAACAAGCCCAGTTCCCTCAACCTTTCCTCACAGGAGAGCTGCTCCAGCCCTCTGACATCTCAGTGCCCTCCTCTGGACCCGCTCCAAGAGCTCCACGTCCTTCCTGTGCTGGGGGCCCCAGGCCTGGACGCAGTGCTGCAGATGGGGCCTCACAGGAGCTGAGCAGAGGGGGACAATCACCTCCCTCTCCCTGCTGGCCACCCCTTTTTTCATGCAGCCCAGAACACAGTCAGCCTTCTGGGCTGCAAGTGCACACTGCCATGCTGGGCTTTTCTGCCATTCCCCAGTGAGTGAAGCCTCAGTGATTCATTCTGTCCTTCCCCATTTGGCGAACAGTGCTCCCGTTTTCCCCTGAGTTTCATTTCTAATGGAGCTTGAAATTATCTGGGCTTTGTTATTTGCTTCCTTGTTTGCAGGTGGGAGTTATCGATGGAGGGCAGCCCGGGCTCACTGTGCCACCTCTGTGCCACAGCACGGCACAGCACTCGAATCTTTTTGGGAAATACGGCTGTTGCAGTGGCAGTATGGCTGGCTGTGGGGACCATCCCATAATGCATGTGCTCAGAGGCAGGAACAAAACAGAAACGTGAGTGCGGTGCTGACGTGCACAGAGCTCCAAAGGGGTTACTGCCAAAGGGTAATTTCCCCACCTTTGGGATGGGACCCAGAGGGAAGCGCTTTGCACCCGAAACATATGGAAGAGGGGAACTTCCCCATGTAGCAGGGAAAAATGCTGTGAGGAAGACGAACTGGGAGAAAAACAACAGTAATAAACATTTTATGAAGCAGAAAATGGCTTATAAAGAAGTCAACTTTTAAAGGCAATTTATATAATCCTGCCAAGCGCACATAAATGGGTCTCCGCAGCGCCTAAGTGTCCCTTAAAGGGACAAAGAGCTCTGCTGCCCAGCACACTGAACTCAGCAACACCATGCCTTGACGTGTGTTGTGCAGGCTGTGCTTTGTCACCATTCTGCAGAGCTGTGGTCCCTGCACTGCCATGCATCACCTGCCCTGTGCTCCAGCTGGGGACCCCATGGTGGGGATGTACACTGGGATTGCATGGTGGAATAAGAGGGAGATGAGGATGGAGGAATAGGGAAAGCCAGTTGCTGTGTGGTGTGCTGGTGTTCTTACCATCATGCTTTGCACCTGGCTCTTATCTGAGCTATGTGAAAGCAGGGGATGGCAGCTGGTGCGCAGCAGCATGGTACTGGGGACAGGGATGGGGACACCTACAGCATGGGAACAGCACCTGGGACATTGCTCCATGCCCCTCTGTGTGGAACAGAGCCCCTAGCTCTGACTGCACAGCATGCATGTCCTACACAGACCCCACAGGGCCCTGACTGTGCACCTGGGGACCAGAAACATCTTCTATAGAGGACTGGCAGGGCAACAGGAGCAGGGGCAGCTGTTCTGCTGCTTGGACCCAAACAGCCTCCATATGCTCTGTGCATCCAGAGGAGGGCAGCCTCTGCAGGACATGGCCCTGGAATGGATGAAGTGTGTGATGACACAGAACGAAGGACAGGCAGGACTACATGGGTGGTGCACGGCGCAGAGTGGAGATACTTCCAATGCCACCCAGGAAAGAAAGTGCCGCCAGTGTGTGGCATGGGAACCAAAAACCCCAGCACTGGTGAGGGAGAAGAAACTTTCCAGGCAGAGATCAGTGCTATGTGATTGCTGGGAGCGACCTCGCAGCCGTCCTCGCTTCTGCTCCTGTTTCATTTTCCCCTGAACCTCCATAGCAACCCATCTGCAGTGAGCGACTCTAATGTTTAATGGTCCTGCCATTAGCACTAATGCATTGCAAACACTCAGCATCTGCCGTCGCGCATTCAGATGGAAACACAAAAATAACCACGCTCGGTGCAATCTGTCATAAACTCCAGCTCGAGGTTATGAAATGACACGCGGAGAGAGCAAGGGAGAGCTGCAGCCAGGATGACCAGCAGCTGGTGGGACAAAGGAGCACGGTGATGCTGTGGGCACTACTGTGGTCCTTGGCACCTCATCCTGGTGGGGCTGCTGGGGTGGTGGGACCAGCACGTCCCCATGGGCAGCACAGGCAGGAGGTGGCAGCTGCACTTGGCAGCACGGCCCCAGCATCCCAGCAGCATCCCACCCAGCTCTGCACTGTCCTGATAAAGCTGCGTGGTGACGCATGGCTGCGCATTGTTTCCAGGTGACTCGCTTCTAATTACCTTGATGAAGTGGTAGCAAACAGTGCTGTTAAAAATATTTTTCAATGAAAGTGGGTTTCTGAAAGGTTTGTGTCACAAATGGCAAAATGAGCCAAGAGTTCCCAGTGCCACAGCTGCTGCTGGCACACTGGTTACCACCAGGACTGGCTCTCTCCCACCCCGCCCATGAAGGCTCCAGAAGGGGAGAAAGTGATTTTGGCTGTGGCACAACAAAGTGGGGAAACGTGAGCTGCTGCAGGGAGAAGTGCAGGGTGGGTTTTCCTGCAGGGTTGGCATCCCGCCATGCCCCACCGCTGCGCAGAGCAAACCTTGCCATCCTCCTGATGCCTCTTCCACCCATCTCCAGGGAAGGGGTGACAGTCACTCACAGAAAGCTCTTGGTGACCATTGGTACTGGATACAGCAGTCTGCTGGATGGCACAGCTAGCGGGTTTGTCTCACTGTCCATAGGCAAAGCTGCTTCTATTGGTGAACGGAAGACAGAGGACATGGACTGCCTTCACCCAGCTCTCCTTTCCCTGCAATGCCTTCTCCCTGCTCTGTGAAGGGCCAGCACTCCCAGTGCACTGCAGCTGAGCAGGTGCACTCCTGAAAACCCCTTGAAGCTCAGTGCACACAAGTGTCAGGGAGGCACAGCTGCTGGTGGGGCAGGGACAGGCTGGGAGCACCCATCACCTGGCAAGCACGGCTCAGCACCTTCCCTTGTCTTATGCTCCTCCTTCACCTTTTTCTCCATGTTTATCTGTGCTTGGTGACCATCACCCATGGCAGGAGGGTCTATAGGAGCAGGATTCGCTCCAGTTTCTATTCTCTCCCCCATAGCCTCTCCTTCCACCTTTGTTTCCATCTGTATGCCCAGTGGAGCCAACTGACCACCCTATTCAGAGGTCAAGAGCTGCAAGGTGGCCAACCTCTCCTTGCAGGTGGACATGGGCAGGTGCAGAGCCAGGACAGCGGTGCACAGGGACCAGCTGGCCAGCACTGGAGGAGGGTTCCCTCTGAGGTAAATGCCACTGGGTCCATGTGAGGGGCTTGTCACACAGAAGGATAGGGGCAGGCAGCCCAGAGGTGACATCCCCTAGGGCCAAGGCTCACCCTGAGCCAAGGCATTGCCTCAGGAATGGGGACAGAGAGGAAAAGGAGAGGCCATCACTGTGGGACAGCACCAGCTGCATGTGGAGCCCGGGGGCTGCCAGCCTGGGGCTGGTGATGTTTGCACTCCGAGGGACGCCCACAGAGGTGGGGCTGTCCCCAGGCTGTCCCCTCAACCACCGCAGTGGGCTCCTGGTGGCAGGGCAGGATCCGGCCCGGCTCTGAGGAAGGGGCTGGTGGACTCAGATATTTTTACTGCAGGCTCCATTTGCACTGGAAGGAAAACAATCCTTCCTTCCTTTTGTATTATTGTTAGAATTTGAGAGCATTTCCAGGCAGAACACTTCAGATTCCCGCTGAGCGTTATCACTGCCATAATTACAAAGTCAAATGCAATCATTAAAACAACATCTTCCCTCTCCCAGCCGAGATGCGCTCCTTCCCCGGCAGCAGCCAGGCACTGCTGTCAGGTGCCTCAGGCACGTGAGCTGCTACCCTTGCCCAGTGCTTGCCCTGAAAAACCAATCCTGAAACCCCGAGAAACCTCTCAGCAAGAATCCAAACCCTCACTTGGTTCAGCCTTCCCCTTCTGCCCGCTCCCACCCACGTGCAGACAAGCTCAGAATGGATTTTTCCACGTACCCTATGGATGGGGATGGCGGTAGCTTTAAAATTCATGAGGAACCAAGGATAAGGAAGGAGGAGCTGAAGGATGGGGAGGAGGAAAGGGACAGGCGTGTCACAGCCTGTGTCCCCAGGGCACATGGCCAGGGTAAGCTGGAGCCTTACCCGGATGTTGTCCTGCCAGTGGTGGGCCTTCTGGAACTTCTCTGCTGCGTTGGCCAGCCTCTGCAAAGAGAGCAAGAGGGGAGAGTGAGTGTAGAGCTGCGTGATGCCCCCACCATGGCTGCCCCCAGCCGTGAGCAGAGTCGAGAGAAACTCCATTGGGGCTCCCTGTGCCCACAGCCTCCTGTGCCCACAGCCTCCATCCCCTCTCTGTGCCTAGCAGCCCTCTGCACACACAAGCATTGCAGCCAGGAGCCCACAGCTGCCCTCCCTTCAGCAAGAGACTCCCAGGCAGAGGCAGCGCCTAACGATGCACGGTGTTCATCAGCCATGAGGCTGGCAAGGTTGCTGCATCCCAGGAAGGCTCCCTGGAGAGCTCAGCATCGAGGGAACACAGCCAGTTGAGACGTGCCACTGCTGACATCCCCAGGCACCCGCTCCTCTGATGGAAGCACGATGGGAGCACGAGGGCCCTGCACCATCAGCCTGTTGTGCCCCCAGCTCACACTGGGCACAGTGTGCCTCCAGCTCAGCGCCTCGGCTGAGCACCATGCACAGCAAAGCACTGGGAGCACAGAGTGTGCAGTGCCATCATACATCTTCCCATGGGACAGCACGGCTTGTTCTTACTGGCTGCACAGAGATGAGTATTCCATCACAGCACTATCTCAGCCCGCACTGGTCAAAATTTTCTCCTTTAACCTTTTTCTATTTCTTGAAATCTTGATTTCCAAACATAAGTGCCTGCTTTTCACAGCTAGCACCTGCTGGGAGTTCAGCAACCCACGGGGTGCTGCAGTGAAACTCGTCCTGCCCGGGTCGCAGGGAGAAGATCAGAGATAAAAGTCAAATGTCTGCTCATTTTTGGGGCAGTTTTGCCCTGGGGGGGTTGATGTTAGCAGAGCAGTGGCCCAAATCCTGTACCCTCCCCCAGCCACTCCATGCTCTGTTTATGCACTGAGATGGCTGATTAAGGGCAAGCATTTATTCCGAGTTGTATTTAAGGCAGCAGTGATGAAATATGCATTTTTCTATACTTGATAAGAGCGTGTTTGTTTATTGCATGCCCAGGGAAGATTTATGGACATCTTTAACTATTCATTGCCTTGTGAGAAGTGCCTGGAGTGCTGCAAATGGTGCACTTGGTGACTGCTGCACCCACTACAGGCACTTCAGTGGAATGTATTTTTCCTCTGGAAAATGTCAATTTGTCAAAGTCAATCTGGACAAAACTTTGTTTTTAAGAAAAAATAATCCAGATGTTCTTTTCTTCTTTGGATAATCAATGCATTACAGGGATGGAGGAGGTGACAGCAGGGTGGCACGTGCCCCAGGGAGGACAGAATGTGGTGACAGGGATGGGCTGCAGGGCATTCCCATCTGTGCACGACGAGTTCATCATGAATAATGTGATTGGGATCGATACAGCTCAAGGATTATTTCTAATCCTTAATAACGATTAAACCATTATTTTACAAGTGCTGCAGATCAATCATTCCATCTTCAGCCACGCTGTGTGCAAGGCACTGCACGGCCCCCACCGTGCCCTTCCACTTTTGCATTCAGTGTGGTGCTCCTGTCCTCCAACCAAGGGAGCCCCGGGAAGCTTTTCCAGCTTTGCTTCAGCACAGAGCACTAAGGGCATGTGCAGATGCCACGTTTCACCCCGTCACTGCAACGCAGCAATGCAACGATGGGGCAAAATGCAGCATCTGCACATGCCCAGGGTTGTTGGGCAGCAATGATATCCCCTTTATATGCACATAGGGAATACAAATCTTTAGCAAACACTGTAAAGCAGCGAAGCATCTCATCCTGTAATAATCTCCGAGACAGTTGATCCCAGGGCTCTTATTACCCCAGCAGCTGGCATCTGAAATCCAGTCAGCAGCCGGCTTAGCCACGGCCGGGTATTGATCATGGAGCGGCTTCACAAAGCGCTGCAGCATTTTTCTATCAGAGTGCTAACTTGTTTGCCAATAACTCTTTCAGCCACATGGCACGGGAGGGAAAGGAGTGGCTGGAGCCCATCTCTCCTCTTCAGCCTGAATCTCTCTCATCCCTGCGGCTAGAAAGTGATGGAGCTCTGTCTGCAGTGGGCTCTCTTAAGGCACGTGCTGTGGATCAGGCGGGCTGTGTTTGAGATGAAGCCGGTGGCTTTCTGGGTGGACCCTGACTGCCAGAACCAGGCTGTACTGCACACAAGTGGAAATATTTGGCTTGGCGCATGTGGAAGGACAGCCAGCACACCACACTGCCTGTAGCTGCCGTCAGCCTGCTGACATCCTGCATCTGGTTAAACTGTGCTGAGGAGGATTTTGAGGCATTTTCAAAATAATTGTGAGAGTTTTCTGTTTGTGCCGAGCAGCCAATTAAGCGGTTTGCAAACAAAGTGGAATCACAAAAATTTGCAGTGCTGTGTGCTGCATTTGAAAGTCCATTATTAGGAATTTACACCAGGGAAATGTAAGCAAAAGCTTCTGGAGTCTGGCTGCCCAAGCACTGGTGACGGTCGTATTCCCAACACACCAGGAAAATCCACACCCAGGGAAAAGCATGGAAGGTGGGTGAAAAATGCACTGAGACAGTGTGGAGAAGGGACTGGCACGTCCTGCAAACTCAGCAGCCACCTGTACGACAGCTGTGCCTTTGTCCTCCCCAGCACCCCCATGGATGGAGCCAGGCTGTGGGATGTGGGAGCAGGATGCCCTGCTGGGGTACCGAGAGCAGCTCTGCTTCACCAGCCTGCCATTCCGGCTTCACAAAGAGCAGCCTGAACCAGGGAAAGGTGCCCAGTGTGCAGCCACTGCCCCTTCCTGGAGTCTTTATACGCTGTGCCTGAAATGTGCCCCTGGCATCGTCCTGCAGCACCACTGCTGGCACTGCGGGGGCCTTCCCTCCATCCACCTTGCTGCTACACCCAGGGAGCAGGGAGGCCTGACACTTGCTGTTTAAAGACCAGGCTGGGGGAGGAGAAGGAGCGGGAGAGCTCCCCGAAGGGAAAAGCCATCAGCTGGAACAAGATTTCAACAACTACACATTTCTTGACCTTTTCTGCAGTCGTATCTTAAATGTTGCACGGCCGAATGTGATAAAAAGAAAGAAAAAAAAAATTAATAAAATAGATTTCATTTTTTAAAAAAGGTCAGGACATGTGTTACAGGGAAAAACTCATTTAGGTGCACGCCTTCCCCCTCGCCGACCTGAAGGGCCCCTCCCTGCCTCGCACCTCTGTGCACATCACACTCAGGGCTCAGCTGCAGGGCTGGGACCATGAGCTCAGAGAAGCTGACAAATGCAGGGGAGCTGCCCGCACCCGGTGGGATGCTGTGTGCCCAACCCAGAGATCCTCTCCTTGCTGCTGCTCTGTGTCAGGCTCAAACGTGTCCCCAAATCATTTTGTGGTGCACTGCCCCAAAACTCAGCCCCCACACCTGCACTCCTGCCCACCCCAATGACGTTTCCATGGGGCTTGGCAGAAGTTAGGGAGCAGTCAGAGCTGCAGGGGCACAGTCCTGGAGATGGATGTTTTAAAAAGAAATGTTATTTCAAAGCTGTCCCCCCTCGTTGGCGCTTCTGAAGGCCCAAACCAAAAGCATCCCGGATGCAGGCTGCAGACCTCTCTGTTGTTATCATAGAACCATAGAACAATTAAGTTTGGAAAAGATCACTAAGATCATCTGGTCCAACCATCACCCCATCCCAACACCCATGTCTCTCAGTGCCACATCCACACGTTTCTTGAACGCCTCCAGGGATGGAAATTCCACCACCTCCCTGGCAGCCCGTCCCAATACCTCACTGCTCTTTCTGAGAATAAATTTTTCCTGATATCCAACCTCATGCTCAGCAATTGGAGAAGAGTTCTGTCAACCTCTTCCTCCTTTCATTACTCTCTGTTATTTTTACTTGCTAAGAACAAAATAGAACTTAGTGAAAAAATGGAACAATTACCGTGATAACATTATACTAAGTTATTAAACGGTGACAATGGGGGATAAATACAGCATATAGCCCATTCTATAGCACCACCACCAGGACGGATCAAAGCCAAATGCAGAGTGAATGGAGAGTAGCTTATGAGGGGGAGCATGGATGTATGCAAACGCAATGCCTGCTGTGCAGCTGGGGAGGGACCGGCACACAGGTGCAGGAGAGGGAAGTTGTGAGGCTGGAAGGAAAGGTGGGGAACAGAAGGGCCCCTGCACCTTTGTGCTGGGCGAGCGATAGGGTGAGAGGAAATGGCCTTGTGTTGCACCAGGGCAGGTTCAGATGGGATATCAGGAAGAATTTCTGCACTGAGCGGGTGGTCGGGCACTGGGAGGGGATGTCTGGGGTGGAGTCTCCAGCCCTGGATATATTTCAGAGACACATGGGCACTAAGGGACATGGCTTAGTGGTGGACCTGGCAGTTATTTGATGGTTGGAAGTGATGATCTCATAAGTCTTCTTCTGTCTAAATGATTCTATGATGCCATCTGTGATGTAGCACCCCCATTCAACTCCACTTGCCCTAAGATTTTTGCAACTGCTCAGCCAAGCGCAAGCAGCCTGAATTGGAGATTTCCTCCAGCATCCTGGAGAACGTCCCCTCTGTGCTCACTAACATTCCACAGGGCATCTCAGCCCTGTGCCCAGCTGGCAGCCTGGCACAAGCCTAGCTCAGCTTCCAGGGGAGCCACTCCACAGCACGTAGCAGCTTTCTGAAGTGAGTCTTGACCCTCAGGTCCCCATGGGCCAATCTTACTGGGGAACAGCCAGAGGACACCAGAGAGCAGCATGGAGACACTGAGGAGCAGCATGGGGACATCACAAAGCAGCACAGAGACATTAGGGAGCAGACCAGGAACACTGGGAGCAGAAGAAACCTCAAAAATAGGTGGCCAGAATGAACAGCTTGGTGCACTCATGAAACCCACGATAGGAAGGGTCAGCAATGATGGTGCTGAGCAGCACTACTCGCCTCTGCGTGCCTGGTCATGGCTCTTTCTGCTGGCCTGGTTTCTTCTCCTCTGCTTCAGCTAGCACAGGCTTCCCTGCTGTTCCAGCAGCTCTAACTCTCC